TAATTCTGAACCAATTAAAACTTGCCGAGAATGTTATGACCTTTATCACAATCCTCCCAAAGAAAAGAAAGTAGAAAAACATTTTTTTTGTTCTTTTTGTCGTTTTGAAGTAATTAGTGTTCGCTACCGAATAAGAGTGGATGTCTCTGAACCGAATGAATTAGGTTTAAAAAATGGTGAAACTTATGATTTTTGCTCGGATTGTAAAAATAAAGTTGTAGAGTATAATAGTGGTGAAGATGATGATGATAAAGATTTAGGACCTTGAAGTTAAAAAGAACCTATTGAAATAGAAAAAAAATTAATTATGAAAAGAGTTGTTAAAGAAAGCACTACTATAACTGAAATGATTGAAGATGATGAGGGGAAAAGATTTATAATTAATCGCAAGCATAACGTTAATGTTTCCACTGAACCAGTGGAAGGAAGTTTGCCAGGACTACAAGTAATTGAAAAGGATAAATATTTTCGTGAGGAAATAGCCAAAGAGGCCGAAGAATACAAAAAAAACAATCCTTCTTCACAAAAAGAAAAAGAATTACCGGATACTAGTAATCAAAAAAAATAAAATAATATGAGAAAATACATAAGTTACAATGAAGAAAACATGGAAATCGAAGAGGAATTTCTTAGAAGATGAAAAAAACACAAGAATATAGTTGTTGGCAGAGATAGAGATAATTTGGAGTGATATGATGAGGTAATAAAAGATTTAGAACCTTATTTAAAAGAACCGAACATAGTTAAAATTGCTTTTGATTGAAAGAACTTGGAATGATTTTCCTTTGGATATTGCTTGGAAAATCCAATAAAAACATGAAAAGACGATAAAGGAGAGGATATTCCAAATCAGTATGACAAAGTAGCTAATAATGAAGTAGAAAAATTTTTTGACGAGTATAGACCGTTAGTTAGTTTATGCTATGATACACCATCTTCGGACATTTGATTTCAAGGCACCAGTAGAGTGCTAACTTTCTATTTTACAGATAAGATTGAAGGATTTAAAATTTGATTAAGAGCAATTAAAGTAAAACGGGATAAATTTTTAGAAAAAAACAGTTCTCCGCGAACCATTGATGCTACTACTCAAACTGACCTAACTGCCGAAAAAATTTCACAAATGGAAGCCCAAATCGAAGTTTTGCTAAAAAAAGATGGTCAACGAAAATAAACCAACTGAACTTTCTAGTAAAGATTTTGCCGAAAAAAGTTTAGGACATAGATTTCCCAATTATACTCTTTTTCGCAATGAGTTGAAAAATAGACTGGGAGATGTTATTCTCAAAGTTGTTTTAAAAGTAGTAGAAGATGCGGAAGGAAAGAAAGTTACAAAATTTGATTTAGTTGAATCAAAAAAGGGATTAACTGATGTCTCTTCTCAATTTGGTTTAGGAATTTTATGAGAATTTGTTGCGAAAAACTTCTATTTTAAATACCGCAATAGAAAATATGCCAGCGAACAAAGAGATTTTATTGATGAATTCACTGCCGAATTAGCCTTTGTAGTTGCTGAAATCAGAAGAAAGGAGCATGTTTGAAATCAACTTTGTCTAAACTTAGAAAAGTGAACTAAACTAAATACAACTATAACTCAAAAAACTACTGGCAGCGATAAAGGTGGTAAAACTACTAGTGGGGATGCCTCAAAATATCAGGTTATGTCCAAAGAATTAACCCAAAGGACTGACCAATATGGAAAGGTTTCAACTTTCGACCAAAAATCAGATACTAATATTACCACTCATAAAGGAGTTAATTATGCTCCATTAGGAAAAATTCTTAG